AGAGAGTGTGACTTGCCCAAGGTCACCCACTGGGTTTCCATAATTAGCAACACAAAAATATGCTTCCTTTGAGATCCAGATTGCTTCTGTCTGAATCAGGTCTGGCTCTGTTCAGCTTCTGAACAAAGAAGGAAGAATTTTGAATTTTTCTTCCTTGAATTGCCTTTGCAATTGAACCAGATTAAGATTTTGGACAAGCTACTTTTTCAGACTACAGCTCCCAGAACCCCCCATTAAAATCAGTGGTCCAAAAGAACAACTTTCCCAACATATGAACAAGGAAAAATATTTTTAGTATGCCAGAGCCAGCCTGGCCTGGCCAATCATCTCTGTGTGCATGGACAACCTACATTTTTGCACAGTGATTCCCAGAATCCCTAATAAGGAGTGTGGGAGCTGTAGTCCAAATGAACAACTTTTCCAAGATCTGAAAAAGGAAATATATTTTTAGCCTGCTAGAGCCAGCCTGGCCCGGCCAGTCATCCTTTTGTGCACACGTGGGCACCGGATTAAACCCATGGTACCATCAGTTCCTTGCCACACTTCTTTCATTTCTTACATGAGGCCAAGGAGGAGGGCATAACAATTATGGCTCCTGACAGGCCCCAAATACAAACCAACCCAATTAAAACTAATTAGCAGGCTCAGCAAAAAAAGAAAAGAAAGTACGGAGATCAGGACTGACCAGGCAGCAAAGTGAACAGCGCAGTGGTTTTCCCCCTGCCTCCTTTGGAGGAACAAAAGCCATTTGTACAAAAATGATTTCAGTCTTTGCAAGGAACAGAAGAACCATACTGGATCAGATCAAAGACCAATCGAGTCCCTATTGTAACCAATAGGATGCCCATGGGAAGTTCGCCAACAAGACCAGAGAGCAAGAGCATTCCACTCTTGCCCACCTTACATGATGCCTGGTGGCTTCCATGTCAGCAGAGTAGTGAATCTGCTCCATATTTTAGTCTGAACTTGAGAACCATCTCATGTTTTGTACCTTGGAAGAGACCCCCAGCAACCATCCAGTCCAACTCCCTGCCATGCAGGAACTCACAATCAAAGCACCCCCCAACAGATGGCCATCCAGCCTCTGTTTAAAGACCTCCAAGAAGGAAAGGGCGCCACACTTCGAGGGAGTGCATTCTGCTGTCGAACAGCTCTTAGTGTCGGGAAGTTCTTCCTCATGTTTCCTCTTTTCCTGTAGTTTGTATCCATTGCTCTGGGTCCTGTTTTCTGGAGCAGCAGAAAACAAGCTTGCTCCATCCTCAATATGACACCCCTTCAAATACTGAAACAGAGCTATCATATCACCTCTTAACCTTTTCTTCTCCAGGCTAAACATACCAAGCTCCCTAAGTCTCTCCTCATAGGGATGGTTTCCAGACCCTTCACCATTTTGGTTGCCCTCCTCTGAACTCACTCCAGCTTGTACACATCCTTTTTGAATTGTGGTGCCCCAAATCCCTTGTTTGGGGATAGGGTCCAGCACCTTGAGGAGATCATTGAAGTTCTAACTGAAACCCAGAACAGATTCATTGCTTCTCTAACATGGAAGATACCAGATGCCTTTTCTGCCATATTTGTGCTCCCCAGGAACTGATACGTAAGGCTAAAGCAGGGGTAGGCAACCTAAGTCCCAGGGGCCGGATGCGGCCACCCGAGGCCTTTGGACCAGCCCCAGGCTGGTCTTGCCGCTGCTGCCGCCGCCGCTGCCCCCCTCCGCTCCCGCCGCCGCCGCTGCCACCCACCATAATGATATTGATTATTGTTGTTATT